CAAGATCCAAAGAGGAGAATGGAGGAAAAGGGATTGCGGCGTGGCCATCCCCTCTGGGGGGTGATTTCTCGATTTCTGTCTCTGTCTCTCTCTGTTTCTCTGATGAGTGCATGCGCTCTATAGCAAAAATTTCTCAAGAAAAAAAAAAGAAGAAAGAAAAGAAAAAGAAAACAGGAAATTAGTGCTTTCTGTCTCTCTGTCTCTCTCTGTCTGTCTGGTGAGCGCACACACCCTATAGTGAAAAAGCCTCTTAAAAAAAAAAAGAGAGAGAGAGAGAGAGAGAGAGAGAGAGAGAGAGAGCAGCCTCTTGAAAAGGGGTGTGGCCAGGAGAGGGCGTTTCCAGGCACACGCAGATGGGCAGCACTGTGGGTGGCCTGTGGGCTAGGACTGGAAGGGGGTTGGGGGGCCCGGCTGCCCCAGCTGAGAGGGTTCCCTGCTCTGTCCACAGTCGTGCTGGTCGTGGTGTTCGGCATCTGCTGGGCCCCGTTCCACGCTGACCGGCTCATGTGGAGCTTTCTGTCGGACTGGACAGGAGACCTGCGCCTGGCCTTCCAGTACCTGCACATCACCTCCGGCGTCTTCTTCTACCTCGGCTCCGCCGTCAACCCTGTGCTCTACAGCCTCATGTCCAGCCGCTTCCGAGAGACCTTCCAGGAAGCCTTGTGCCTTGGGACCCGCAGACCACGCCGCAGCTCCCACAGCCTCAGCAGGGTGACCACAGGCAGCACCGTGTGCGACCTGGGTCCCCTGGGCAGCAGGGCCCTCCCCCCGGCTGAGAATGGTGGCCCAGAGAGGCAGCCAGAGGCCGTCACCTCCTGAGTGGAGTCTCAAAGCAGCTTTGGCCAGAGGAGCCAGAGGCTGCGCGGAGTTCAACCTCTGGTGCAGGGGTGTCCTCATGACCCGTTACCTGTCCCTGTCCAGCCCGGAACTCTGACCACCTTGGTGACTCCTATCCACCCCCCCAACCACCACCCCATAAATTTGAGATTTGAGGGAAACAGCAAGAGGACACAGAAACTCTCCTGTGCCAGGCACATGTGTGCGCTCTGTGTCCCTCCAGCCACCCTGTCCCCCACCCCATTCTAGTCCTTCCCCTGCAGAAACACCACAGGGAGTTGAGGCTCCAGGGTCCTGCAGCTGGGCCCTCCAACTTCCCACTCCATCAGTTTCCGGAATGTTCCCACTGAGCCCTAGCTTGCCTCCCCATTTCTCCTTGAGCCTCTGCAGGTTTTGGTCCATGCTGTGCCACTCCAAAGCTCGACCTGGCCCTGGGATGCTCCTCCACCTGAACCCTGCCTGGTCCCCTTTCTGCTCTGCCATCTCCCCCTGATGGTGCTGCGGGGTGCCTAGGCATCTGGGGGACCTGGTACCAGTCTGAGCTGTGCTGCTGTCACCTTGCCACTGGCATCAGTCCACTCGCCCCGCTTGCCAGGCCTCATTTCTTGTGGGCGCTGCTGTTCCACGGTGTCATGCTTCAGCACGGCGCCACATTTCCGGTGTGCACGTCAGTCACCGCTAGTAACGAAGCCTACGAAGCCCTCAGATGAACCGGCGAAAGTTCCTCCGCCATCCTCACCACCCCACCACTTCCTCCCTGACCTCCGCATGACCGCGCCTTGCCCCCAGCCACTCAGGGGCACGCTCCTTTCTTTTTCTTTTTAATTTGCCAGAGGGTGACGTGCTCCTCAGATAGTGGGAGAAAGCATCCCCATGGGGGTGAGTCAGAATCCCTTCTCCTCCATCTCTTCTTCTTTTGGGGATTTTGGAAACACACACACACACACACCCAGTGTGTTTTTCAAACTGCTGGGTGTGGGACTCGAACCACACAGTCAGCTGTGTGGGATCCAGCTCCTTAACCACAAGGCCCACAGGGCACCTTATCTGCTTATTCGGTAACAAGTGGGGCTGGACGGCTAGTGGGGATGCCAGCAGGTGAGCAGTCCTCCCACACCCCTCACCTGCCTTCATCCTCGCCTAATACAGGTGAGAAGTGCCTTGGACCTGGCTGGCCAGAAGACCTCTGGGGGCCGACCAAGGTACGGGTGACCTATGGGGACAGTTCTACGGAGCTCAGTGCGGTGAGGGAGGCAAGGATGAGCAGCGCCTCGGAACTAAGTCTCACCCTGAGTCCTGTGCGTTAGCTCGGCACTTGTCAGGACTGGGGGGGTGGTACTCGTTCTGCTGCAGGGCTCTGGGCACTGAGCTCCTGAGAGGAGCCCCTGGCACCCACGACCGAGAGCTGCAGGGTGACCCGAGGCCTGCCTGTGTCAGCACTCCCTGCACACAACTTGCTACTCGTGCCTCAGGCTGCCTGCCTGGAAGGTGGCGAGATGGTCCAGGTCACAGATGCTCTTTAGTTTGTTCAATTCGGGATAACTGGGGCTGGACATGGTGCAGGAGTGCAGTCTGATGCTGGGCAAGGCGGATCCACCTGCAAGGATCCCAGTTTGCATCTGTCTAGAGCCCTCTCCAGACGTGGTGGGCGTGCTCTGGGTCTGACAGGGCGTGATCGTGGAGTAAGGATCCTACTAGGAGTGTGCTCTCTGTCCCTCTCGCTCATGGAAGAAATAAATGTAAACATTTTTCGATGATGAAAAATAGGGGCTGAGAGGACCAACAGGTGGCGTGGTGGTTAAGGCGCTGGACACTCCCACATGGCCAAGCACAGTTTGAGTCCTAGACCTGGTGGCTAGCTTTCTCACTTTCCCACGCTCTCTGCCTCCCTCTGATCAAATGAAAATAAATGAATGAATAAAATTTTTTAAAAAGGGACCAGCAGTTAGTGTAATGGCTATGTCGCTGGACTCCCATGTAGTCCACCACGGTTTGAGTCCTGGACCCGGTGGCTTAAACTCACACTGGGCGCGTGTGCGTGCGTGCCCAAGATCCCAAGAGGAGACTGGAGGAGAAAGGGTTGCAGCATGGCCATCTTCCCTGGGAGGCGATTTCTCGCTTTCTGTTTCTCTGTCTCTGTCTTTCTGGTGAGTGCACATGCCCTATAGCAAAAACCTCTCAAAAAAAAAGGGGGGAGGGCTGAGGTGGCATGGTGGTTAAGGGGCTGGATACTTCCAAGTGGTCAACCACGATTCAAGTCCCAGGCCTGGTGGCTTGCTTTCTCACTTTCTCACTTTCTCTCTCTCTCTCTCTGTATCTCACTCTGGTCAAATTAAAAAATAAAAGGAATAGCAAAAACCTCTCAAAAAAAAAGGGGGGAGGGCTGAGGTGGCATGGTGGTTAAGGGGCTGGATACTTCCAAGTGGTCAACCACGATTCAAGTCCCAGGCCTGGTGGCTTGCTTTCTCACTTTCTCACTTTCTCTCTCTCTCTCTCTGTATCTCACTCTGGTCAAATTAAAAAATAAAAGGAATGATGGGACAAGCAGTTGGCATAATGGCTATGTCGCTGAACTCCCATGTAGTTGACTGTGGTTCAAGTCCCAGACCCGGTGGCTTAAACTCACACCGAACCTGTGTGCGTGCCCAAGATCCCAAGAGAAGAATGGAGGAGAAGGGATTGTGGTGTGGCCATTAAAAAAAAAAAAAAAAAAAAGAAGAACTGAACAGTGGTGCCATGGTAAAATACAACAGTCTGCAAGGCAACCCCACATGGGAAGGTTCCCAGTTCAAGTCCAGAGACCTCCCTGATTATGTAAAGCAGGCTCGTGCCCAGGATTCAGAGCTGGTTGAAGGCTGGGGATGGATCACAGCATCAAGACCCTGTTGAGAGTGATGTCTCTCTCGCTTACCTGCTCAGGAGAAAGAAAGAAACTTAAACATAATAATAAGGGTAACCTATAGTGCGGCGATTACGCCCTGCACATAGGGAGCTTAATCCCACACGGCCAACTGCAGCTCAGATCCTGGCACAGAAGCTTGAAAAACACACTAGATGCGTGTGCAAATTGCCTCAAATAGAGAAAGGGAGGAGAGAGGATTGTGGAGGGACCAGGTCCCTCAGGGGGGTGCTTTATCTCTCTCTGGCTCTGTGAGCACAAGCACCCTCTGGAAATAAAATAACAGCAACAACAACAACAATAATAAATGTTTATGGTAGAAAATTTGGAAAGTGAAAATAAGCAAAAATGAAAACAAATTTTTTAAAGTTTATAATTACCCTTGCCAAGACCTGGAGGGGAAAGTGGGGAATTGTTTTATGGGTGAAGAGTTTCCGTTTTTTTTATTTTATTTTTTTTGGGGGGGGGAGGGAGAGATTTTCACTATAGGGCGCGTGCGCTCGCCAGACAGACAGAGAGAGACATAGAGACAGAAAGCGAGAAATCACCCCCCAGGGAGGATGGTCACGCCGCAATCCCTTCTCCTCCATTCTCCTCTCGGGATCTTGGGCACGCACGCACACGCACCCAGCATGAGTTTTAAGCCACTGGGTCTGGGACGCAAACCGCGGTCAACTACGTGGGAGTCCAGCGACATAGCCATTATGCTAACTGCTGGTTCCCAAGAGTTTCAGTTTTGTAAGAGGAAAAAGTTCTGGAAATCGGTTTCACAGTGTGCATATACTTAATAATACAAAACTATACACTTAATAGTTAGGATGGTAAATTTTACATAACGTATATTTTACTACAATTTTTTTTTTTTTTTTAAAAGGAATCAAGTCTAAAGAAAAAGAAAAAAATAAAACCACCCTTAGGGCCAGCCCCATGGCCTGGTGATTAAGGGATCCAGATTGAACAGCACAATTTGAATCCTGGCCCCAAGGGCTTGAAAAGCATGGTGTGTGTGTGTGTGTGTGTGTGTGTGTGTCTGCGCGTGCGTGCTCGAGATCCCAACACGATGACGAACTGGAGGAGAGCTGACCACGCCCGTTGCAGGGTGCTTTCTCCCTCTCCCCTCACTCCTTTCTCTCTCTCTGTGGAGAGCACACACGCCCTCTGGCAAATTTAAAAAATAAACCTCCCATGGCTTTACTCTAACCTCTGTGTACATTTGGGCTTGTCTCCTGATAACGTTTTATGCGATTGTGTTAGTGGCCTTTGTGTGATTTTTGGCTTCTTCTGAGCAGTTGTTCTAGCCAAGCTCAAAGTTACACTCATTTGACTTGTGGGCTCCAGCTCCAGCCAGCTTGGGCGAGTCCCTGCGTGTCACCGAGCCACCCCAGTGAGTTCCTAGACGCTGGCCGGGCATCCAAATCCCAATCCCTGGCTGCCAGGGAAGGGAAGCCACCAGCCTGTGGGACTAGCTGGGCTGGTACAGTCTGGGGGGAGGGGTGGATTGGGGACACTCTGGGGACAAAGGGTCAGGGAGCTGAGGGGGGAGTAGGCGGGCTATGGGAAGGGGTGTCTTTGGTGGGTGGCCCTGAGCCTGTGCAGACTGAATGTACAGTCTGAGACCACGTGGGCACGGCCCTGGGCAGGGGAGGAGTGGGCATGGGTGGCCCTGAGCCTGTGCAGACTGAATGTACAGTCTGAGACCACGTGGGCACGGCCCTGGGCAGGGGAGGAGTGGGCAGCA